GGACGCAAGCGACTTGTAGCATAAGAGCAAGTGCTGCGCATGATTGCTGCAGCGTTCGTGAAACAGTCTCCGCAAAGAAGCAAACAGCTGGGAGGACACTTCAGGGTTTGAAACTCTGGAAACTGGGAAGTCCGCAAGAATAGGGCAAGCCGCTGCAAGCGCTGCAGCTCTCTCAGCAGATTTCGCAACATGAACCAAGACTTCTCTGCCGATCAAGAGCCTTCTGAGTGTGCTGTCAAGCCCTAAAGCATCCAGCGTGAGATGCAAAGTGCATAAGTCCTCATCAATCCTGGTCGATTGGGACAAACCGCTGGTCAAGTCGCCAATCAAGTTGCGGTACCATGCTGCATCCTCGCGAGGAACACGTCCGACAGTGGTTGAAGCCATAGCAGTATCCGCGCGTTACTGTTGTTTACCTTTGGCTAGAGAGTGGTGACTCAAGTGGCTTGCACATGCTTTAAAGTCTGGGCAGCTGAGTGCTTTGAGCCAAGCTTGAGCCAAAATGGCTACTGAACTTAGAACCCTAGCAACAATTATAATTTTAGCTGTTTCTTAGGGATTATAATAGCCAAAAATTAAAGCTATTTCTTATTACCCCTAAATATTGGACAGCTACAGCTCTGGAAGGCCACCCATACTATCGAACCGAAACCCCCCCTATCGAACCCACAGACAGAAAGCCCTCATAAATCCCAGCTCCCCAGAGAGCCCAATACCCCTTAATTAAGGAATAAACCTTGAATCATAATATGAAGGCCTCTATAATTTAAGGTATATTCCTTAAATTATAGAGGCCTTATTGTTATCATTATTGTTATTATTATTGAAATTTAAGGTATATTCCTTCATTAAGGGGTATTGGGATCTCTGGGTCAGGGTTCGACAAACTTCTGAGCCCCTAAGCCGTAAGACTGCCGAACACATAACAGCGATGTAATGTTCAATCTGCCCGTAAGCTTGACCCCGGAGACTCCAAAATTTCACATGACCCCGGAGACTCCAAAATCCCTTAACTAAGGAATATACCTTAAATCTTATTAGGGATCCTACTATAAATGAGGGTATATTCAAAATCTTCCTTAAATAATAGATATTGGAGTCTCTGGGAACTCTGAAGAGCACCAACTTCACAGCCCACGATGGCTATATACTTTAGGGAGAGTTTATAGAGTTTACTATAGGGACCTTAATAATTAGAATAGGGTTTTGGGGCCCATTCTACTATAAGTTTCATAAGGAACCCCCAAAATGGTATTGGTAATTACTTCGGCCCCTATAGTAGGCTTGGAGCTTGTAGGTTTGAGGGTCTTAGGGTAATTGGGGTTTAAGCCCTGGGCCTACACTCGGAACATAGGGTTTAGGGTTCAGGGTGCGGAACCCTACACCCTTTTTGCTGCTGCAGGCTTGCCTGCAAGGACGCCTGGTAGTTTGCCGCTCTTCCGCCACTTAGGACTGTGCTCGTGACAGGAACCCTACACCCTAAACCTCCAACCCTGAAATCTACCAAATAAGCCCAAGACCAAGTGCAAGCCGGGTCTAAACACACTCGCCTCCCCCGTAGCCACCCGAGTGTGCACTGGCGACCTTCGGTTTAGCGGGTCGCTTTCTGGCGCGTCATGATTCCCATACCTTGCACTATCAGAGGGCTTCTGCGGGAATGATACGTGCAACGGTGTATGCCTCCTCAAAAACTGTTGTAGGCTCCTCATGACTTCTGTATTAGGTGTGCGATAAGAAAGCACAAGAGAGGCAGGTTGTGGATTCTTGACCATAGGCTTATGAAATCAAAAGGCATTGCATCGCTCGGTGACTTTTTAAATAATGGGTGGAACGTGACCGACCCTATTTCCGCATGTCGAAGTCGTGTAGAATCGGCCAAACATGTCCTTGCGGACGTACATACATACAGAAAGACAGATATGCAGGCAGACAGCCAAGCAGACAGACAGTCGGTCGGTCAGTCAGTCGTACACACCTAGTCCCTGGTGCTTATAGGGAATGGAGGAATGGATCCCGATAGTCCCTATATAATCCCCAATAATAGTTCCCATAATCCATTCCCCCGTTCCCTACTAAGCACCAGGGAACCTGTACACACCTGTGTACACATAGAAGGTTGACCGTTGCTACCCTGCCTGCCGCGCGACCTTCACGGCCTCTGCCGCATTCCGCCTGGTGGCTGTGAGGATCAGAAATCTTAATCTTGGAACAACGCATTGGAACACAAGCACTGGTAGTTCGAGTTCCTATGTTGCCATGTCCCGAACACACATCGCCGACGTCCACAGCTTGAACACTTTCGCTGTCTTCCCTGCACCTGAAAAGCAGCTTCAACCGAAACGGGTTTTGGGGTTCAAGCAGTTCTGAGTAGGCTAAGCAACATGAACTTGCAACCGCTGCGACGAAAGTGCATCCTTGCAAACTCGCAAGGCTTTTGAATCCAAAATCCCAAAGCCTCCTCCCAGCACAACTCCCTCTTATAACCCCATCCCTAAACGCTAAACCCTAAACCGTGACCCCGAAACCCTAAGGGACCTTGCCCGGACTGGATACCTTGTGTGGCAGGAGCGTTTTGTCACATTGAAAACAGACGCCAGCAAACGGCAGGTACTTGGTACTCCAGACCAGGCAAAGCACAAGCACGCAGAAGCCTCAAGCACAGCTTGCACCAAAAGACTGTGAGTTATGATGCCTAAAACCCTACCTTAATCCCAAATAACCTACCTTTTGGACTTACATCAGGAAATCGTAATAAGGAACCCTAAAACGGTAGGTTCTTCAGGGTTAAGGGAAATCCTAAGCCCTAGACCATTGGCAGCAAATGCCATGAGAACCCGCCTGAGTGAGTCAAGGTCGGCGAGAGCAACATCCAAGGTGGCACCAGTGGCCTGCATTGGGCGAAGATTCCCAAGCTAAGTCCCTAAACGACCGGATATCTTCACACCCTGTAGGATCCGTTAACAAGGGTTCTATAAAGTTCAAGGTTTAACATACGGCCTGATGATAATTAGAACAGGGTTTGGCGGGTAGATTATAGTATATTGTACTATGCACGTCACAAGGAGTCCCCAAAATAGTATAGGTAATGGTATGCAAATTTTTGAGTCCCCTGAAGCCTGGACACCCGGAGGGCGTCTCTCCGAACAACCCTGCAGCGAGATTCAGGGCAGGCCAGGCGTCCGTGCGTCCCTATCGGCCTCTAGTTTAGGGTTTCGGAGCTCACACTCGGACAATCCAGGCGAGGCATATGGTTTGGAGTCTGCGGTGTGAAACGGCACTAGAAGATCACGTCATGACAGGAGCAAAAGTCATCTAGCAACAATTAAAGTAACTGTACCGCTCGATTAGGGTTTAGGGGTTTCGACTCACACACTCGCACAAGGCAGCCATGGCTTCAGGCGATAAAGTCCACTGAGCTTGCTAGTTGGGTTTAGGGTTTAAGGGTCAAGACTGTCTGGTCTTAGTAGGGAATGGGGGAATGGATTATGGAGACATTTATTGGGGATAGTATAGGGACTACTGTAGGGATCCATTCCCCCAGTCCCTACGAAGTACCAGACAGTCTAAGCCAAAACCCGAATGGAGATGAGCCCTGTACGGGTTTACGGTTTAGGCCTTTAGGGGTTGGGGTTGGGGTTCAGGAGTTTAGGGTTTACGGTATAGACCTAGAGCCCCCACAGTCTATATGCCATCACACAACAGTGGCCTAAATCACCCCGAGCTCCAAAATCAGAACACGTCCCCCTTGCTCTCTACTTTCTGCTTACATGCACACACAGAGATGTGTGTATATGTACATATATATATATACACACACACACACATCCGGCACATGCACAGTTACATGCATCCATACATGCATGCATTACCTACCTACCTACCTACCTACATACATACATAACTACATACATGCATAATGTGTAACTATACATATATATATATACATACAGACATTGATCATGGTTTACTCACTCAACATCCACCACCCCGGTGAACACAGGAACGTACGTCTAAGATCCCCACATCGCCGGCAAGAAGTCTAAAGACCTGGGGCCTTACCCGGCTGAAATCCAGATTCGGGTGGTTGTCAAAATTATGGTCCCTTTTTTGGTTCCTATTATAGTACGGCACCGAATATTTCGGGTACCCAAAAAGGGACCCTAATTTTGACAACCACCCCAGATAAAAGGCCTGCTGCTTGGAGCTTTGCTGGTTGAGCAGCCTCTGCAGGCCCGCTTGTGCAGCCGCCTGGCTTTCAAGCTTTCTCGTTTCGACTCTAAGCTGGAGCCTCGAAGTCCGAAGACTCTATATGGGTGGTTGTCAAAATTATGGTCCCTGTTTGGGTACCCGAAAAATTAGGTACTGCATTAAGATGAGGACCCAAACAAAAACCCGAATATTGACAACCACCCATATGAGACTCTGGTAAGCTATCCCCTACTTTCTCCCAGGCAGTCTCATCCAAGCCGAACTTCTGTGGAGGCTTTCATCAGGCTTGGAAGCTTGGGGGAAGGCTGGTACATTCTTCAGAACTCAGCGGGGCTCTGCAAGCAATCGAATCCCGCATAAGCGTATGTACCGTACGAACAGTTGAGATGGTCCAGATATAAACGGACAGACGGATCGATAGAATCTCGACATGTAGAGATGGACAGGCGGAAAGCAGGCCCAAATGGACAAATTCACAGACTGCTACTGGGTTTGGGCCGAGGATGAAACCGACTTGAACAGCAATCTACTATACTGAGGCTTGAAGCAACGCTGGCGCCAGGGAGGGCAAAACCAACTTTTTCGGTGCCGACAGTCAGCAGCGCATCTGGTCTAGCGAGCATCATAGGTGGCCTCTCTCTTCTAGGGATATTCAAGGGCGCAAAAGTGGTACCTGAGTCTGAGCTGCTCCTGTTCATGTCATGGAGAAGCTTTGATGGATGAGGGGTGGATGAAGCAGGCGAAGAGAATATAGGTCACATTTAATTTGTCTATGCCACATGGCAGCTCTCTCATTGAAGGCAGCATGTCGATCCCGGCGTGCAGTACTCTCCTGAGGTCGGTTGGGCTTCCCGGTCCAATGGATTCTGGACTTACTAAGCTGGAATTGTGAGGGAATTTTGGCTACCCGTTCTATTGTCCAAGAAGGCGCGGCGTAGTGCCATGAAGCTCAACGGTTTTCAGGTTACACGGCTGCGATTATTCATGGTATGTAAGTTCTTTCCGTTCAGGCCCGCTTATACTCCTGCAACAGCGCTTCATGCCACTTGTACCAAGAAAGAATCCGGATAACACTGCAACGAGCTTCATTGAGCTGAATTGTTAATTGAAGCCAAGGGGTCTTGGTCCAACTCTCTGGATTTTTTGCTCCTACGCGCAAAACCATTCAGGCACTTAGACTTTATCATGTGGGGCATACCAACAGTCACAATCAACGCTTGTCATCAGAAACCTTACAAACACCCAAGAAGCACTAACACACAGAAAAAATCTTTGCAAATCCAAACAACTATAGTTTAATGGTAGTGGTCCTACTGGTCCTGCAGATCCAATTACTGCTAGTCCAAACATGTTGTTGTTGCTGAAGCTCATTATTTCAACTATTCTTGTTTGTCCCTGTATTGGCTCCAAGGGTCCTAAGGATCCAATGATACCTATTGGCTCATACCCTAACCCCTTTTTTAAGGTACCTACTTTTCTATATAGGAGATCCTAACCATCAAATTAGGTACCCTAAAAAAGGGGGTAGGGTAACACCCTCTAGGTATGGTGCCAGGGCTTGCGATTATAGTTCGGCTTTCTGTTTGAACGGATGATGATACGGCACCTGGTGCCTGAGGGGGTGCAGCCTGCAAAACCCATAAGCTGAAGGCAACTGACTCGATGTTTGGGGGTAGGGATGCCTAGGGCTTTGTAGGGTTGCAGTGAACTCTAAACTCTGTTTGCACAGGCTTGTGTGAATCCCGCCTGGATGTGTCGCACCTGTTCTCCGAACAAGGCGAGACACAGAACGAAATCGCTGACTTGGAACCGTAAACCTCTTAAGGATTCAAAGGGGTTAACGGAGCTTTCGGTCTCAGAGACACTGGGTCCGAGTTCGACGGCGCGTCGATATAAAGAAGTCTCAATAGTGAGTTATGACTGTAGCCCTGATTCGTCCCCATATAGCTAAGCTCTAAACGCCAACACCCTACACCGCAAACCCAAACCCTCGTCAGCCCCAAGGGCCCTTGCCTCGTGTCTACACAGGGATCTATCACCCTGTACAAAATGTTCGGGAGCTTTGGCATCTACCCCGGCCCCTGCTCTCTGGTATGGTTCTTGGATGTACGGTTTCATGGCTTGCGTGGTTCAATCGGGAAATAAAACTAAAAGAACGAATGAGGTTAACCTTTGCATCAGCGGCATCAACCTGTATAGCTAGTTGGGCTTCACGAGCGATGGTAAGAACTTGAAAGGACATGTAGGCCGAAGTGCCTGGTTACAAGCCGGAGCAACACCACTAGACTGACAAGCTTCGCATTCTTAGATCCGAGGTGCGCGTTTGACCCGCCGGGTGTCCGAGATGGCTCCTCATCTTGCTGATGTACTCCATCTCCTTCGGGAATCGGCATGAAGAGACCAAGGGTTTGGGTTTTCACCAGTACTATGCCCTGAAATCTTATCCCTACATCCTGAATTTAACATCCTACACACCCTAAGCCGAGACCTGATCCGTCTGCCATGTCGGCGCAATGAGGAACGAACTTTACACAGTAGATCTGCAAGCATACCGGAATAGAGGAACGAAGCAGTGCCTATGTTCCCCTGGTTCAAAGGGTTTACCTGCCGCTGTGGCACATGCTTGTTGCAGACCAGCTGTGTGTATGTATATACTGTTTCGACGCTTCGGCCTTTTGATATTCATGCTAACAAGGCACCTGCTGACGGGCAAGCTCCCGCTGAAAAAGCTGGAAGGGAATCCCTACAGGTCCAGCTACTGTGCTGGTTACTGTTTCTGAACCCTATAGAGCCTGAAGTGCCCATAGCCCGGTGTACTGTAAGGCTGCTCCGCTTGCAGGGGATGGCATGTTCCGAAAGCATCCCATACCTACCCAAAGGCCCCAAAATAGTTCCTTTTTGCGGTTCATACATAGAATCCTATAAAGTAATCCCAATAAGGAACAACTTTGGGGCCTCTGGGTAGCTGCTGTAGTCATTGCAACAAGGTTGGAGGGGAGGGGGTGTCACAGTATACCCACGACAATGGGCCCTACGGAAAAACAGGACGAACGATTCCAGATTCCATAGCACCTGTATAGGGTTTGCACCATACTCAGTTGCTAGATGTTGCTAGTTTAAAGGCTTCAGAGGTATTTGTGAAGGTACCTCCACCGGACCCATTTAGGTGTTTAAAAAGCTGCCCAAAGTGGCACTTCCAGAGTCAGGGTTAAGGACTTCCAGTTTAGGGTTTAGGTTTAGGGGTTTAAGCTTGAAGAGTTTTGGGTTTAGGTGCAGTTTACGGGCTAGGCCCTAGAGACAAAGTACATGGATGCCCAGAAGATCGAATCCTTGCATCCTGAGCAAAAAAAACCCCAGAATACGTTCTGCCCGAAGTGCTGCAAGCTCGAGACCGAGCTTCGCCCAAGCGAACTTCGAAGGGTTTAAGCTGTTCAAGCTCAGAACTTCGAGCTGACGAGGGATTTACCTATTGGCTCATACCCTAACCCCTTTTTTAAGGTACCTACTTTTCTATATAGGAGATCCTAACCATCAAATTAGGTACCCTAAAAAAGGGGGCAGGGTATGACCCTCTAGGTAGAGTGTTGTCCAAGGGCTTAATTTTTGGGCGAACGGAGACGCTAGAACCGGCTTAGAGTATACCTTGCATAACCCACCGGAGCTTACTTCTTTGTAGAGTCCCTATAGATCCGATAACAGGGTTTATGATGAGAAGCTGCAACACAATGGTTTGGGTGGTTGAAGTAGAGCCCCGGTCAGGGTCCTCTTCCTTCGTTTGCAAAACGATGAGCTCCACCAACCTAGTTGGACGACTGACGCTGGAAACTGAAAAGCTTGCTTCGGTGTAAGTCCCGGTCCGTTACACTTGAAGCAATGATGGGTGACAGCTGAAGCAGCTCGGTCCGCGGACAAACCCTGTGGCATACCTAGAGGGTCATACCCTACCCCTTTTTTAGGGTACCTAATTTGATGGTTAGGATCTCCTACATAGAAAAGTAGGTACCTTAAAAAAGGGGTAGGGTATGAGCCAATAGGTACTTTGTGGCCTATTGAGCCTATTGATGCAACATAGCCAAAGAGCCTAGCAGCAACTTCTGGGCTGCCCTTATGCCAACCAGAGTCCGGATCTCAATGTCATGCTTTCAGCCAGACCCGACAGTTCCACAACAAATTACCTAGTTTAGGGGCCTTGATAATCAGAACAGGGCTTTGGGGCCCACTATTCTAAAACTATTATGAGGAACCAACCCTCAACATAGTATAGGAAAAATATTTTTTTGCCTCCTGCATGGCTTCGTGTGTAGGAAGATATTAGTGGCCCCTATATTACTCAAGAAATGACAGGCATCCCCCCCCCCCCAAAAAAAAAAGCCAGCAGGCCTGGCTCCTCCGCTCATAATATAGGTACTTTGGGGTTTCCTGATTATGGTTATAGTATAACGGGCCCCAGAGCCCTATTATTCTGACTATCAAGGCTCCTATGTCAGTCCAACTATAGACCCCAACAACTCTTAACCCAAAGATGACATGCTAGGAAGTGCCGCTGCTGCCAGGTCACATCCCCTCTTCTTCCAAGAGCTCAGGGAGCTTATCGGAGATAAGGGGCACAAGAGTTTGGAGAACATCCTGGGACGAGCCCGGCTGTCTCTGTGGATTTGAGCCTTCTAGGCGAAATTTGTGACCAAAGACGACATACAACATCACCTCTTCATGTACTGCCTGGGTTCGGAACAAGCAGGCTTTCTGTGTTCAAACTACCACGGAATGAAGAGGACAGACTAATGATAGATTGCGTCTTGAAGCTGCTCTGGCTGTCGGGGTCCAGCATGACCGATTTCGGCTGTCATCTTGACCCCACATCCCAGTACCCAAGCAAGCACATTCATCAAAACCGTAGCGTGCAGATTCTCAACACACTGTCTCTAAGTAGCTTCTTGGGCATCCCACCCAGAAGTTGACGTCAGCATATTTCAGATTCGTCAATCGACTTGAGGTCTGAGCACACGGGGGTTCAGTTCCGATGATTCCGCTTCCTGAGGCCAAGATGCCTGCTCAGGGTAACACCCGCGCACACACACACACACACACCCACGCACGCACGCACGCACGCACGCACGCACGCAAACACACCCACCCACCCACCCACCCACCCACCCGACCACCCACCCACCCACCCACCCACCCACCCACCCACCCACCCACCCACGCACGCACGCACGCACGCACGCACGCACGCACGCACGCACGCACGCACGCACGCAATGCCACCGTATCGTTCGAGAAGTGCGTGTAGACTTGGTTGAGGCCACATGAAAGCGGCAACTTACCAATGCTTCACAAAGAACAATGCCGAAAACACCATAATGCCCCGCAAACACAGCCGTCGGTCTGATCAGGGTCCGGGAACAGCGGACGCGGAGCCCAAACCCGAAAACCCGAATTTGCCTGAAACCTTTAAGAGTGGCTTCACACACAACCATAGACGGCAAACCTGTTGGAATCCAGGAAAGCCGGTTTCTGATTACCTTAAACCCCTTTAGAACTTAATTAATCGCCTGAACGTCAGCGCCCAAACCGGAAACCACAAAACTCTGATGACTCTGCAAGTTCTTCGAAGCATCGGTTTGCTCGAAGTCACACCCGGCGCAAGAGTGGAGCAGGTCGAAAACGGTGATCAACCTGGCAGAAAGGTTGAGGATTCAGGGTGGAGCCCCAAAATATAAAAAACCCAAGATATAGAAAAACCCATGTAAGCGCACATAAACGGGTTGCAAAGAGGCCTTGTTTGCACTCTCTCCCTCTCGCTCTCGCTCTGCCCCCATCGCCCTCTCCCCCTCTCCCTCCTCCCAGCCGTATGCAATTCTTTGACCAAGAGAGCCTGAACAGCCTTCAGAAAGAGAGCCACCCCCAGGATTGGGGGAAGGGAGGTGCAGCAATGCCAAGACCTGGCCATGAAATCATTCCTCCCTCAACCCCTGCCCTGAGTCCGAAACCGGCCGCAGGGCACCTGTGCGAGTTTAGCCTGGTCTCGTTGGCGTGCAGTATCGTAACTCTCCTGTGGAAGAAGCTTCAGATGGAGTGAACAATCCTATCTATATATCTATCTGTATATATATATATATATATACCCATATATCCCAGCCATTTCCAAAGACAACAGTACGCTTGAAAAGCTCCTGACAGGCTGAGGGCTTATGCAAAAAAGCAAATCTGCAACGGTATAGGGTTTTTCGCCCGAAATATTTTGCCTAAGGGTTTAGGGGCACGCGGATCCGCATGATGCTCTGGACTCTACGTCACCACACCCATCGATTAGCCAAAGTTTAGCGTAACGCAGCAAACATTGAAAACGAATAGCCGCACTCACACCCATGCCGGTCGACGCAACTGGCCACATCATCATTGGAGAAGCCTTCATCATTAGCATAGAGTTCGGGATACCGCGTAACAACGTTAGAGACTAGCAGGGGCGCTCCTTTTTTTGCAATGGACTGTCGAGCACTCGTTAGGGCGCGTCCAAAGACTCGCGCACAGGGGGGGGGCACTATTACCGATTATTTCGACCCGTACAGTATAGTACAATATGACAGTAAATATAGTCGTCAGAACATTCGCAGGAGCTGAAGCTGCAAAGCTTTCATGGCGTCAGCAGACGGACTGCTGCAGTTCTCGGGTTTAAGTTTAGCGTTTCGGGTTTGGGGTTCAAGGGTTCTGAACCGAGAAAGACGAACCACCTCTTAGGTCCTAGGCATGTCCGGGGCTCGGGTGAGCACAGTCGAGTGCCAAATCCTACTTATAAACCCCTAATCCCTTTTCAGCACGGAAATGCCTCAACCCTACTTGGGGATCTCTGTCTATCAGTCGGAGGCTGGCTACGCACTTAGCCGGGCGCGGGGACAAAGCCTGCGAAAGTTGTGGAACGCGCATGTATACACATGTTACCACGAAGAACAAACAAACGTACGTACAAACATACTTATACAGGATATATGTATGTACACATGTAGTCCACTCTGCATACCATCAACAAGGAAACTGCTTGGCGCTACATTGTGGGGGGAACCATGGCACATGCCATGTCCCTGGTAATTAGAAAGAACCTGGGCACCCGGCAAAGCGATGAAGGTGCCAAGTTGGCAAAGTGTCTCGGCATGCGCGGTGACGCCGAGCTTGAGAAGCTTCGGGATGATAACCTCGGCTTCCACCCAGCTCAGCCGGGAGGCTGGTTCCTGGTTTCGGGATTGCGATCCTGGTTTAAGTTTAAGTGGTCGTGATAGCAATCTAGCAACAGGATCGAAGCGCTGCTAGCCATTCAAAGCCCAAAGCTGTAGCCCGAACGCGAGCCCTGACTAGACTTGGACGAATGTTTGAGTTGTCAGCGCTGGCCAAGATGAACACAAGGTCACAAGGCCAAGATCAGCTCTCAAGCAGATGCGAAGCGTTGGCTGGGTCAATCACCACAATGTGATGTGTAATTCAGCCCCAGCTGCATCCGTCAGCCGTCCTGCAGCCCCTCTCGCTAGAGGATGGTCATTGGAGAAGATATAAGCCGTCTGGGCGTCGGGTTTAGGGTTAAGGCTTTAGGGATCTGAGCATTGAGACATCTGGTAGCCCTGCGTACCATCATTAAGGAATGAATCCCAAGGATCCTGACTGTGGGAGGTGCAGTCAATTCTATGATGATGATCTCTATCTATGTATATATATATACATATATACATACATATATATATATATATATGTCTAGTATGGGGGCAGTGATACTTGTCCTTGGCACAAGGTTTGAGTGGTATATGCTTCGCTAACCTTGTGAAGGAAACGTATAAGGAATCACATTGGGAATTCGTCAAGCGTGCACATGCTGAGTTTTGACACTGGTTTCTCGTTTTGCAGGAACTGTAAGCCCCTCTGCCAAACCCTCCTCTGGGCTCTTGTCGGGGAACCTCGTCAGGGCAGGGACAGTAGAATGTAGTCGGTGAGCTTAATAGAAGAGTTTCTGCATGCGTGTGGGTTTTCGGGTTCAAGCTTTCAGGGGTTGAGGTTAGGCTCGCTCAGAAAATCAACTGAGCCGTGTTCATGACCCGGGTACTGCTGAGGGGTGCTTCCATCGCATTGAGCGGCATTGAGAGACCCTATAAACCCTGAACCCATTGTCCGGATCTGCTAAGGGGTCTCGAAAATTTTTGACACTCACTCTCGAAGATTTATAGGTTTTTTTTTTTTTAGACGGCCCTTTTCTCCCCTCATAGGGTTTAGGGCTAAAGCATACATGTATGAGGGCTACGTGGTGACTTGTTGTATCTTGTTGTTCAGAGTTCAGACCTGCATACCAGCCGATCGGGGATATGGTAATGGATCACGGTTGCAAGGCTGCCACCCCCACTTCCTGCCCCACAAAAGATACAGTAGAGGTTCGATTGAACTTACTGCGGGGCTTCATGGTTCAGGGTGAGGGGTGGAAGATTTGCAACTAGCGTTTAAGTGTTTCTGGCCATACTGATGAAACATCGTGTCCTTCAGCGTCCCCGAAGGCTCTACCCCAACAACAGAATGCGTCGGTGGAGGTCATCTGTGCCTAAGCGCTTGCCCGTCGGAACACCACAAGCTGGTAGAGCACATACGTGCTAACGGTGAGGAGTACTAGAATGGCAACCCGACCCTTACTTGCTAAGATGCTCATCAGCATGGCGAGTATGACTCATGTAGGTCGTATGGCGTGCTGAAGTGTACTAGCATTGGCAGTACAGCTGTGACTTGTTATTGGGATTTGCTCTTCCGACGGCCATAGTCATTGAATGACTCCTTCCCAGGATCAACTGGGCCCATGACGTGACGATCGTCCATGTTTTTGAGAGCGCGGAAGCCCAGCGCATGGTTCCTTCGGACTTGACACGCAGGGTTGATGCAAAGATGGCCCCATCGAGCTCAGCGACAAAGCTGGAACGCATGCTCATGCGGATGAGATGCCATGAGGAGTGCATGCATCAAAGCCGTGATCAACAACCTAATCGAACCTAAATTGTCACGGAACCTATAGTCCCCGGATTTCAATGATTACACTAGCGGCATCACTCGCTCGCACATGCTAGGCGAGAGTTTGGGTGCTGCTTGGAGTAGCGATGGTACGCTAGTTGTCTCGTGTTACGGTTGATGATATAAACCCTCCATTACCCATAAGACGGAATATGTACCACTACTCCCATAGTTTAGGGTCCTTAAGGTAATGCAGGATTTATATCATCAACCGTACGTTCCAGAAATGTGCCAAGACTGTCTGGTTCTTAGTAGGGAATGGGGAGATGGAACATGGAGACGACTACTGGGGATTATAGAGGGTCTACTGTAGGGATCCATTCCCCCCGTTCCCTACTAAGCACCAGACTATACTGACCTTAGAACCCTAGCAAAATTTGTTAATTTCAGCTGTTTCTTCGGAAATATAATAACCAGACATTAAAACATATTTCTAAGTACCCCTAAGTAAGCACCGATGATCGGAGATCGGACGAGTCGCTCCCTGGGGGTGTCGGCCGGATGTTCAAAAGGTTTCGACTCGAGAGTGAGGAAGTTCAAGTAGATGACCTGCAGGGCTTAGGGGTTAGGGCTTAGGGTTTAGAGTTTAGGGTTTAGGCTTCAGCCGACGTTTTGAAATCCAGGGCTCGAAGTTTTCCTCGGACTTTTTTCGGAATCTATTAAGCTCGGACGGAAACACCAACCTTGCACAGGGATGGGTAACTGCAGTGGCTGTTGGTTCTGGTCTTATGCTTGTTGATGCCGTGGCTATTGCCACATTTCCTGTCATTTAATGAACTACCGTATGAGCGACGGGGCATTTTAAACATCAGAAGAGTACTTTATGAAGGTACCAAAAGGGTTCTACAGATCAGATCACCCCTATAACACCAGCTTCTAGAATCCCCTGGCTCGGGCTTGGGAGGGCTCTTGGTCTGAGCCTCTTCCAGGGCTAAGCTTTGGAGATTTTGAGTGAATCGACCTGAAGGAATACATAAGTCGGTTTCAGCTAGGACGGCGGATTAAGTCATGGCTAGCTGGGGGAAAAAACCGTGTCAAGTGGGTTTATGATTGTGTTACTTCTTGGGTTGGCTCGCTGTCTGTATATCGGGCTCCTTTTATTGAGGGTCCTGCCTACACTCACACTCGGACAAAGCCTGGCAAGGTCTGTAGCCTTCCTGGTCACTTCAGGGGGTTTGGGTTTGAGATCCCTAAACCCTGAACCCCTGAACCTCGAGATTTCGGATTCGGGCGTCTTGCTGGAGCGATCTGAGTTGGAAGCTTTCCAGGGGACGCTTTAGGGCTAACAGGTTTAGAGATTAGGGTTCCCGACATCTTGCTAGAGGCATAGATGCTTAGGGCTCACAGCGACTTGGCACCTATAGGGGGCAACTCGAATGTCCGTGATCCTGCTCTTCAAGAATGTTCGAAGCATGCCCACGGAGTAATGGCTGCGCGCGCAAGAGCTCTAACGTCCTAAACTCTACACCCGAAAGTCCTGAAAGCCCTAAACGCGTAGAAAAGCAAGGAGGGTCAACAAGCCAGCCTGCAGTTGCGATGCTGCGCCTCCGGTGGGTGGAGTGCTGGCCCTGGCCTATCGGAAAAGTGTGTGTGTGTGTGTGTGTGTGTGTGTGTGTGTGTGTGTGTGTCTGTGTCTGTGTCTGTGTCTGTGTTTGTGTCTGTGTCTGTGTCTGTGTCTGTGTCTGTGTCTGTGTCTGTGTCTGTGTCTGTGTCTGTCTGTGTGTGTGTGTGTGTGTGTTTGTGTGTGTTTGTGTGTGCATGTATACTTACATAGATGTAAATATGTATATATGTATAGTACAGATGCACATATGTACATGCATATGTGGATGTATGTGGATATCTGCATGTGTATGAGCTTGTACATGCGTGCGTGTGCATGAATGTATGTGTGCATGCCTGCATGTATGTCTGTATGTATGTCTGTATGTATGTATGTATGTATGTATGTATGTATGTATGTATGTATATGTGTGTGTATGTATGCATGTACTGTATGTACGTAATTATATTTCTATATATATGTAAGTGTATATATGTTCGTTGATGTAGTATATGTGTACATACACTTGTGTGTGTATGTGTGTCTGGGCATTGATGCTCTGGAGCCTATGCGGTGTCTGGGAACCATCTTCGGGTGTAGGGCAACGCACGATAGAGGCCTTATGTATCAAATTATTTATTGGGACGGTTATCAGGGGTTAGTATAGCGAAGCATTCCGTCCTCTATAATATTGGGGTCCTGTTGTTTGTGACCCCGGCGCAAAGATGTTCATGCCTGAATGGCTCACATCTCCAGAATCCGAAACCACAAGGGACAGCCCGCTACAGCACACCCCACGTCCTCAACCCTTCACCCTAAACCAAAGTCCCAGCCACAAAATGCACCGCTGCACCAAAATACCGACTGCTTAACGTGCTGATGACGATGCCGGTAACGATGCTTACAACCATTACGGTTACGATGCTTTCAACGATGATGACAAAGATGGTGGTACCAATGATGATGACAAAGATGGCGATTAAAACAGTAGCTTGAAATGATGAGAACAATGACGGTGGAGATGACAAAGACAAAGGATAGCGATGCTGATAACAAAGGGGATCTCGATGATGACAACAATGAAACAATGAGGACGATACTGATAACGACTTTACCTCCAAGCAGTTGAGGCCATTTCTGTCCCACAAGGGACTCCCCGCGAAGTGGAAGCTAATTGTGTACAGGAGCGTTACCTTATCTGTGATGAGGGGTACGCCATGGAATCGATTTATTATGATTTTTCAAAACATGAGGCGAATATCTGGTCTCAAATCTTCGTACTTTCATAAGGTCATACAGCCGTCCGATACGCTATGCTCGCATGAACATATTTTGCACTTGGCCAGCCAATTAGTTCAGATCCCCTCTCCTTCACAATATTGTTCTTTGAGAAGACTCAAATTGTTGGAACATGTCCTTTGTCACCCGGATTCCCATGAGCTCACGTCCACGGTCATGCAGTCCAGAGCTTAGAGGTCTGTAGGGGATCAAACCGGCGTGGTAGGCCTCGTTCGAAGCATCAAACATGTTCATAACTCCGATAAGCTACCATGGACGGATGACACGCTGATTCACGGTAGGTTGAACACCGCAGCGCTGGATACGATGCAGTGGCCAGTTGTGTTTATCACCCAGACCTTCCAAAATCCCTTAATTAAGGAATATAACTTAAATCATATTCGGGATCCTATTATAATTTATGGTAATTATATTCCTTAATTAAGGGATTTTGTTGTGTTTATCACAGCCCCTTTTGCACCAGCGGCTTGGTTGATGGGCAAAGATGGATTGCCTTGCACTCGAGAAAAAAGTGATAACCACAATACTCACTGGCCCAAAACCCAAGGAAATAAAAGTTGAAACTTTCAGAATCGACTACCTATTATAAGAACCCCAAAAGTTGAAAAGTTCAGTTTACAGCCAATAAGAATAAGAACGAGGATGGCGGCGATGATGCCAGCCGATGGAGAGACCTTGTTCCCCAGACCTGTCCTCGCCGCACAACCTCACCAAACTTCCCCCCCCTGCAAAGTAAGTAGTGGCCCTTGCTTTTGGCCAGATCTTCGGATCTAGGTCGTCCTTCCACTCCACTCCAAGTAGTGGTCCTACCAGCGTTTTGGCCTTCTCGGCCCGGCTTGACAAACTAAGTTCAAGGTGTTCTTGTTTGTGGGTGGGGGGGGGGGGGGGGGGGGGGGGGGGGGGCGGAACTGGTGCCTAAACCGAAGTACTGCCGATAAATCCGCTCAAAGGTCTTCAGCTTCGCATTTGGCATTACTTTGCTTCAAGCCCCAATGCGTAAAATCCAACATATCCTTCGATTTATGGTTTATAGTTGTTTTTGCCTGCAGGGCTTAGTGTCTAGGGTTTCGCGAAGTCGGTTCTCAAGCGACACGCCCAATCTCGGAGAACATGTCTGAAACTCAAGTTCGACACCCCTTGCCTTGGCAATGGCCTTGCCCTTGCCTTCATCGATCGGACCTACCCCAGCCATTGCTGTCAAGGAAACCTCGCGATGAGAGAGCAATGAGTACTTCGTGCTTGCTTTCTCATGCCTGAGGATCGTGTAAGAGCTCCTTAAACAGTGAGCATACCAAGTCAATCAATGGAGGTGCTGGGCTCTCGCGAGGCCGTCGCTCTTGCAGGCAATACAGTTGGTCAAGCTGCAGTCATTCCCTCTCGTGAGTACGGTAATACCATAACACCTGATAAGTGGAATGCCAACAGCAGCTCGAGAACACTCTACAAGGTCTCTGCAACAGCCACAACCGACCTGTAAACCCCAATGCTGAGAAGCTGTTGTCTTGTCAGGTTCAGAGCAAAACATTTCCCACGACACGATCAGCATAATCATAATGAAGGCGTGCCACAAGCAATTCGTGAAACTAAACCCTAAACCAACCCAACAAGCACAACTGCTTAGCAGCGTAGCAATAGTGGTGAGGATGTTGGGATTCGCAGCGCCCTCCGCCCCGCGATTGTAAAGTTGGTCAGTTGTGTACCGCCCACTTCCGAACTTCCGAGCGTCCAAGCCTGTCCGCCCAAATTCGTTAAAGCTCTTTCTTAAAGACACGCCTTGCCACGAAGAGCATTGCAGCTTTCTAGGGGGGGAACCGGGTCCTATACCTCAAGCTTCGTGCTTGGAAGGCTTTTCTTTCATCATTGGCATCGGGAAGGGCGCAGCTTTGCTTGTGGGGTTTCGTTCTTCCGCACTCAACGCTTCGGCCCCCTGTCAGGCAAAACCTAAACCCTTAGCAACAAAAACCTTTACCTTGAGCAAACTACGCCCTAAATCCTAAATCCGAAACTGCACTGGATTTGCAAACTTCTCTGGCCACTCATATTTTGCTGCTATGTGATGTATCAACCTACTCTCTACGGCTCGTCCGACCTACCACCTGGAAGCCAAAACGGCAGTGGTTAGGGTTTTAGGGTTTGGGGTCAGGCCCGTTTAGGAGTTGAAGCGGCCCTTCCTTCATGTCCTCGTGTCTACCGACCACCGCCCCCGCCGATGAAAGAAATCAGCTCAACGGACGACTGACTGTAGAAGGCTCGGGCCGTACCATCCTTTGACGAAAACCTGACAACACGGGCGCATACCCAAACACCTTCACCTTCTTAGACCCTGAACCCGGCAGTATCAAAGCAGTCATGAAGAGCCGAACACTGCTGCCCTGTAGCTCGGCAGACCCTACAATGTCCTTGGCTGCTTGCAAGGTTGCACAACTTCGTGGTGGTGTTTTCCATTGCGCAGTATGGAACGGCAGTGTTCGAGGTTCAAGATTTCTGGATGTTTCTTTCAATTAAAGAGCCCTGCTAATTACCGAAGCTGCAACATGCGGGATCTTCATACCTCGACCCAGTGAGTGGATGGTTTGTCCGAACAGCCAGCTCGGATCGCCGCTTGACGACCAGACCGGAGGGGCACAGAGCTTTAAAGGCTTATATGGGGGTTTCTGAAAATAGGGGACCCCAAAATAGGACCCTAAATAGTAGGATTCTTATTACAAGGACCCCAACATAAGGTACCTCTATTTTCGGAAACTCCCATATGCTTGGGAAAGCTCAGGTTACAGGTTTGGTGCTTTTTCGGCAGGCGAAGTCGTCCATCCTGTCTAACAGCGACAATGGGAGCAGTCAATCCGGCGCATGATGGGAGCACACATACCAAGGTCGGCAAGAGGCAAGACATTTCCAGGCCGCAGAAAAGCTGATCATGGTGAAGCATCACATCCGCGAATACTCGCGATAATACGCATAATGATTACGAGATGGGGTTGGTCCGGTGATGGAAAAGCCGGGACCCGTGCAGAAACGCTACTCATACTGGAAACAAGTAGCATCATTGCGCCGGCGAGGTCTGATCACCTTCAGTTCCGCGAGATCCCACATGCATCGCACGGCTCTCTGCAAAAAACTCTGCACATATGGGTGGTTGTCGAAATTATGGTCCCTTTTGGGGCACCGTTAAATAATAGGTGCCGTATTATAATAGGGACCCAAAACGGACCATAATTTTTGACAACCACGCATATACATCTCGGCCAAGAGATATCCCCCTGCAGGCCATGCACTCCGTCTTCTTGCCTCCTCACAGGCTTGCCTTGGACACATCTCGTGTCCGCCCGCCTGACCACGTGATATGATCGAACAGCACCTTCTGGAGGCCGACACCCATGCAATCCACAGATAGGGTCTGCTGTGTTCTTGATTCAAGACTTCCCACAGTGTACTTCTTCATGCAGTGCTCCAGACTGCGCATTCTGGCCGCCTGCACTGGCATCGCAAATGGACTTGCTGTCTCTGTCTCTTCTTCCCATTCTATAGGAAGGCCACGGGGACAGACTTCGAGCTCTCGTGATGACAGAGCGAAGTCTCATGAAACGAGTTGCAGGACGTCCATCTCATTCCTTCGACCTTTCAACCCAGAGACTCCAATATCCCTTAATTAAGGAATATGACTTAAATCATATAAGGAATCCTACCATACTTCAGGGAATATTCCTTAATCAATTATTGGAGTCTCTGGGAACCTCAAGGCCAGGGCTTTCTGGAGCTCATCCACTCGCACTGCCTCTCCAGAGTCTGCACCACACCGCGCTTTTTGGCCCACTCCTCCAAGGATGTGTCAAAGGGTTTAGGGTTTAGGGTTTAGGGGGCAAACTTGCTATGACCTGCTTCTCTCGAACTCTACACAGGGAGCTTGGTTGATGCAGTTCTCTGCAGTTCTCCGAAAGATTGATTCGAGAGTATTTAGCTCTGATCATGCATGCAACATCGGACTGGCGACGTCCTGACTCGCTCTCGCGTTCCGATGAAGGGGTTACAACATGAAGCTCCTTCCATGGCCGCGGATTCTGCAGCTACAGCATTGCCAGGTACCTGGGGAGCTTACCAAAGGGGCATATAAGTACTTTCTGCAACTTTCAGAATACCCTTGCGGAGCCTTACACCCTAAACCCTTCTAAATTTCCGTACAGAAAAACCGCCTTCAAGCCTTATAAGCCCTTTGTAAGATTTTATAAGACCCTTTCTAGAACAACGTTCCTTAACAAGGCCCCGATACTCGTGACACGGGGACGAGTTCCCGAGCTGCGCCGGCAGCAGCCTACGTAGGACGGTGATGGGAAAAAGGATTGGGGACATGAGGATATTGAATTAAATGTTTCAGTTTAAGTCTTACGATTCTATTTTTTTTGGTTTTTGGGAGTTCGGCTTCAGAGGGTTTAAACTCAAGCCTTACCATTCTGGGATATTTGGGTTCTTGGATATGGGTTTCAGAGGTTTCCAGGGCTTAAGGAACTTAGGTTTCAAGCTAGAGCTCCGAAACCCTAAACCCCAAGCCCAAAACCTCACCGGACCTCACCTGACCCGTTCTGTTGGAGAATGCCGTTGGGATAGAGACTGTAGGATCGAGGTCTTAGAACGGGTACATGGGAGGATTCTACAACAGTCCTCCGTCCGCAGGTCTAGGCCGCAAGAGTCCTATGCTGAACTCCAGGTCCAAGAAAACCCAGACTTACAACGCAGATCCTTGACTTGAAGAAACCCAAGCCTATCCTCAAAACGGAACAGGTGTGACCCTAAACCCTGTGCTCCCAAGGGTCTGCCTATGGAGGTTGCAAAGATGGAGACATCCCTTTGTTTATGGGGGATCCCGGTACGCTCTTGAAACCAAAAGCGTTGTCGCATGGCATTATGGCCTTCTGTGTGAACATCGAGCTTACAGCAAGGGTATGGTCTTTCTAGATTGGCCTACTCCGTCGGGCAAACAGTCCCAAACGGTTCTAAGTACCTATATAATAGTATTGGGTGAGTATTCCCCAAATTGGCACTTCGGACATAACCCTAAACCCTAAACCCTACACCCTAAACCCTAAACCCTAAGCCGTCCTTCAGGGGGATGTAGGGCCGCAGCAGTGGCTTTACGGCCTTCCAGACAAAGCCGCCATCATTTGCAGAGCCTGGGCATGATCAATTTTGGGTTTTGCCACAAGCCCACCGGAAGGTTTCTGATTATCGAAAGGTCTCTGTTTCGGACTCTCCAACTCTCCAAAAAGACTTCTTCTGGGTAGAAAATTGGAGCTCCTGGTCTTTCGGGCTTAAGCGGCTCTTGCCTTTCCGAATTCCTCAACACTCTCAGCGCTTTTGCCGGTAAACCTCAAGGAAGCTACAACTGGGAAGTGCGTGGGAACTCCGCACTGTTGAGGAGGTGCCCTGTTTTCTAAACACGTTTCACTAATCACTGCCTGGACGAGACAACAGCTGGGCCGACGAGCATCAACCCTGAACCCTCGACATGTGACCTCTGAGCCGCCCCCACCACCAACAACAACAAGGGACCCTTAAGGGGGACCCCTACCCTATCATGGGGCTATATAATGGGTATATGATAGCTATACTAAGGGTATAAACCACAACAGCAACCGCAACAGCAATGATAATAATAAGAAGGACAATACGCACCAATAATAAGATGAACAGTAATTAAAACGGTAACCACAACTTTCCCAAAACAGATCTGCAAGCCGAACTTCATGTACGTTATGTCACCAACGCTTACGCAAGCAGCAGTGTAATGTATGCAGGGACAACACATGCCCTATGCTTTACATCCTGGGCCACCGAGTGCATGATACAGGTGGCCCCGCGCCTCCCCCCAAGACCCATTTTTACCCCCAAACTGGCTCGGCTTGCCTGCACCCCCAGCAAGATTCTCCAGTCGCCGAATGCAGCTCCAGTCGAAAAGCTCGTCCAGATCCGACGGCCTGCAGGAAAATTGCTAGGCCTATAAGGGGAGCAGACCTGTGATCTTTCGAAACTACCCGGTGTGTACTCAACCTCAAAGTATGTCTGCCTTCCAAAGAGACACGCGCCCAGAGCCTTACATAGAATAAGCCCCTATCTCTGAGCTTTCAAGCTTCAGCACCAACATTGGCAGGATATCGTTTCTGCCCAAGGGTTTTGAGGTTAGCGATGCTTTTTAGCTTCCCC